CATGAAAATTACGCTGAATTAAAAACATTTATCCTTTATTGAACAGGATGTAATAATTTCATATTTAAAGGACTTTCAGAAGTTTGAATTCTGAATAAGACTAGACTTTTCCTTTAATAGGGTTTCCCTCTCTGGAGCTGATGTATCCGCTCCGCAGCCAAAGGCATGTTTTAGAGTCTCTATACTCCAGTTAAAGTTAATTGATTGCTAAATTAGTTGAGGATTATTTCAATAATCGATTAATCTGATTCATAGTTTCAGTTCTAATTTATTCCTTCCTAAATCTGATGGAATTTGAGCGCCGTTGCTGATGCTAGGATATAAGGCGTGTTGACATGAGCAGTGTTCCCTGCAGGTGTCGGGGACCATTGTGGACCGGAGCGGGCGGACGCTGTCCGGTCAGACGGGAGAGGCCTTCGTAGTGAGTGTTTCCCATGCTAAACCTCTGTGGTGAGTTTACCTCTGGAAGAACCAGCAGGGGGCGCTGTGGGGTAATCGCCTAAACGCTAAACCAGCATAAATCACTGTGTTGCAGTATTGGCCTGAACTGTGCTCTAGGGGCCACAGAAATGAGGCCTTTTATTGAGGCAATTGGAAAAAGCACCACAGCTTTCGTCATCTGTTATCCCAATGCAGGTGAGCCAGAATTAGTTCATCTATCTGACTGTTTTTACATATGATGCCATCACCAACAGCAGCAACTAAAGGCTCCAAGGGGATGCTGGAGGTTCCTCTGCAGTCTTTTAGTTCTGAGTCATTGTTAAGGTTTTGTTTACCTTTAATGACCTGAAGACCAACAGTGACCTGTGTTCTGGTTCTTTCTGCCTCATGATGCGTTTTCTTTTTTTTTTTTCCCGTCAGGTCTTCCCAACACATTTGGAGGTTATGATGAAACGCCTCAGGTCACCGCCTCCAGTTTAAAGGTTCTGTTCCTTTACACACGTTTACAGAGCAGTTGAATTAGCAGCCTTAAGGCCTGAACACACCGGCTGCGTACGACTTTTTCATCCCCGATCCGATTTTTCGGAGCACCCAGGGCTAACGTTAGCCCGTCTGCAGCAGCCAGGGCTAACGTTAGCCCGTCTGCAGCAGCCAGGGCTAACGTTAGCTCGTCTGCAGCAGCCAGGGCTAACGTTAGCCCGTCTGCAGCAGCCAGGGCTAACGTTAGCCCGTCTGCAGCAGCCAGGGCTGGCATTAGCCCGTCTGCAGCAGCCAGGGCTAACGTTAGC